AAGTTGGTGCAAACGAGCTGGCCAAAAATGTCGATTCTTTGATTGTCGTTTTAAATCAAAAGCTTTTCGAAGTGATGGATGATGATGCTGGTTTGGATGATGCCTTCAAAGCAGCAGATGATGTTTTATACAATGCCGTTGCTGGTATTGCGGAGGTGATCACCTCAGAAGGTATTGTTAATGTTGACTTTGAAGACGTACGTACCGTGATGGCAGAACAAGGTAAGGCGATGATGGGTACGGCAACGGCAAAAGGTCCTGATCGAGCGAGAAATGCGACCGAACAAGCTGTCCGTAGTCCTCTCCTTGAAGGTATTAACTTGGCGGGTGTTCGCGGTGTTGTTCTGAACATTACAGGAAGTCGTTCGAGCCTCAAACTGCGTGAAACACAGGAAGCTGCTGATATTGTTAATCAATACACACACGGTGAGGCGACGCTCATTTTTGGAGCCGTATACGATGACACGATGGGGGATGAAATTCGTGTGACGATTATTGCAACGGGTTTAGGTGATGCACAAAAGCCTATTCGAGGTTTAGAGTCACCCCAGCAGTTTAATCAAGCACCTGAAGCATCTCAAGCGCGACAACCAGCTAACAATGTTCCACCTAATCCATGGAGCAATACAGTCAGTAGTGTCGCACCAATCCAACAGGGCGTTCCAAATTATGGTGGACACGGAGAGCGAGTGCCTACTCACGGTCAAGAGCCTCAAATTCCGGCTGCGGCAAGTGCTGATGCTACACGTAAACCAAGCATGCCTGCTGGAGTTTGGCAAGTGAATAGTGCGCGTCAGTCAGCAAATGCTCAGATTGATGCGTTGAGAGAAAAAGGTTATGATACGCTGGATATCCCAACATTTTTACGTAATCAGGCTGATTAGTTATCTCAGTAGTGCGCAAAAGAAGTTATGGTTTTTCAACACAATAAAGTGGTGATGAAAACATGTGTGTGTTCAGGATGATAGCTACCACAAATTCGTGGTTGTGGTGTTTGCTGGCTATCGCTGTTAACATATTGGGCGTAGGATGCCAATTTCATGACGTGAGGACGTTGAGAGGTATTGATTTATTTGCCTTAGAGTAACTAGATAAATAATTAAGTGGGTTCGCTCGCGGATTTTTTGTCAGTCTGCTCATTTTTGATAGGTT